ATCTATAAGAAATTTGGTAAGAGAACATAGAGCGAACTTAAATTGTCCACACTTATCGAATTCCTTTTCAAGTATTTTCCTAAACTGCTTTCTTCGGCTTTCTAACATTTTTCATATATCGCTTCCATTATCTGGATGAGATTTAGGAACTTTTGCACGATGTACAGCTATAGCTCTTCTTTTAACTGCCATTCTCAACTCTTCTTGCTCTCTAAACTCTAGGTCTTTTTTTGGTCTTTCTTGCTTCTTCTTAATCTCTTCTAATTTTCTTTTTTCATATTCTTCTTTTGTTGGTGGTCTAACTACTTCTGGATCGTATTGTTCAAGATCATGACAAAGAGTCATACAGTCATCCAAGTTTTTTGTTTTAAAACATTCACCTAGACCAAGTTCTTTCCATCTTTTTTGTAGTCGTGTTCCCCATGTTCTAAAATGTTCACCAGGTTTTCAGGCATTTGGGTTAACCTATTTGTCTGCCTTCTCCTGGCTAATATAGTCTTTATTCTTTTGAATAGGTTCTTGGATTGCTACTTGAACAGATTTTTGAATATCTTTTTCAATGAGTTGTTGGTTAGCTTCTTGTAATGGTTTGTATAGATTTTTTCGCTTAAGATGCTCACAAAGTTTTTGAGGTGTTGAGCATTCACGACCACAATGTTTACAGATTCTAACTTTTTTATCACTTCTTGTTTTTTTAACCATAGTGTTTGCTCTAACCGTCACGCTTTTACTTGTTTATAAAATTTTTTCTTTAATTAATTATTTCCTATTCTTTTCACTTTCTGATTATAGAGTTTCCACCAAAGGCAGTATTTTTAGGCTTGCCAAAATGGTTCTAGCTATCCTTTCCAAAACTGAAGTATTAACTAATTATTAATTAATCTTTCAAAATTTAGTGATAAAAAATAGAATGATTGGTGAATATTTCTGCCCATATCTCTGCAATACCAGAAAAGCTTGTGGGAGAGCTTGCATTTGGCCTGAAGGTTGCCGATTTCATTGGAAATCAAAAAAACAGGTTCCATGCTCTGATTGCGGGAAGCCAACTTTTTCAGCTTGTGGACGATGCCTGTTAGATATTAGAGGTTATTATATTATTCAGTATTATGATAGGCTTCGATCAAAAATACGAGAAGGTAATGGAAAAATCATTTTGGCTAGCACTATACCTTAATTTTAGCCAGAATTTTAGGCACAATATTTAATGAGCATTAGCTAAATTTTCATTAGATTTTTATATTTTTTCATTAAAGTTTCATGATTAATATGCTATTTGTTGAGCTAGCTTGCACAAAATCTGTTCTTGACTAAGAAAAAGTTAAGACAAAAATCTCGATAGACTTATTTAATAATTATGCTATTTAATAAGCTAGCTTGTATAGAAGCTATTCTTGTCTATAGAAAAATTCATTAGATTTAATTAATCACGTGATTCTTGATATGCTAATTAACATTTAAATCTCTCTAGAAGCAATTCTTGAATAGTTAGAGATATTTATAAATAAATCTAACGAATCTGAAATCGTTAGACAACAAATCTAACCAAAAATCAATATAGTTTTTGGCCTTTGGGAGTCTCTAGAATATATTTCTGATATGGTTATAAATTTAACTAAAAATTGATATAGTTTCTGAGCTTTAAAAGCACACACAATATATTCTAGAGTGTTAAAAAATTGTTAGACTTAATATATCTAACCAAAAAATTAATATAGTTTCTAGGCTTTAGAAGCCTCCAGGATTTTTTTCTGATATATAAAAATATCGATATAGTTTTTGGCTTTAGAAGCCTCCAAAATATGATCCAATCAATATAGTTCCTGGGCTTTAGAACCCTCCAGGATTTATTTCTGATATATAAAAATATCGATATAGTTTTTAGACTTTAAAAGCCTCCAGAATATGATCCTAATATACTAAAAGTCTAACTGTCTCAAAACCTCCAGAATGATATTGTGTTAAGATCTGCTTATAGATCCCCTATTTAAACTCTTTGATCAATTTAGTGCTGTCAAATATTTTTTTTGAAGAATTCCTGCTACTAAAACCCCTTAGGACTACTTTATTCTTATAGTAAATCTATTAAAGTAGTCTGTATTTTATATATATATTATCTAAATTTTTTGATAACTTATGCCCAATCTGAAAGCTAGTATTTGCAATTTTTATCACTACTACTATTATCTACTTCTTGTTCTTGCAAAATTCATTCTAATCCTAATATCTATTTTAACTAGTCCTTATATCGATCTCTCTCTAACTACTAAACCAGTTAGCCCAAATATGTTATTATATTTAGGCTCTAAGTACTTTTTGGTTTTATTTTTCTTAGTTTCTAATTTCATAGCATAGGACCTTTTCCTCTAATATAAATTTGGTAGCTAGATTAGTAAACTCTTCTTGATTCAGAATTATTTATTTAGTTTCAGTCTTGGGTTCTGGTTTTCTGTAATATTGTTGAAGAACTTCACTACTTTTTTGCTCAGATTATGCCAAACAGGTTTTAAATATTCTGATTTCTTGAATTTGAATTGCCCAAAAGCTTCTATTTTGAAATAGTAATACCAAGATTACAGATGATATATCCAACTAATCATCAAATAAATATTACTAATACACAGACCTATTTTTCTAAAAACATCTTTAGTAGAATTCGAACTCTAGATCTGCTGCTTGGGGTGACAACTTAATCATTTCTTTAAATCACCACACTCTTTTTTAAAAATAGATTTTAGAATTGTAGTTTATATAATAACTTAGAACTTTAAAGCAAGCTACTATCTTCTTATTAACTTTTTTTAGCTTTTTATCTTTAATAAACAATTCATCTATCATCTAAAGAGGATCTGCAAATTTTATAAATAAATTTTACTATTAAGCCAAATATGGAGATATTTCTTCTAAAACTTTTTTCTTACTAAGTAAATCACTCTTGGGCTTCTAACAAAAGTTGTAGAGCTCATCAAGACG